TTTCAGTATTCTTAAATTTTAATTTTAATTGTTCCTTATTAACACTACATATTCTTAACATACCAACTCCCTATCCCAGGGGATCGCAGAATTTTCTATTTTTAATAAAATTATTTAAAATATAGAGGCAACTGGAGTTTTCGGCACCAGGTATGGTTCATTTGATTGATCAGCAAAAGGCAATTTCTTGGCGTAGAGTACGAGGATTCGTATATTTGACATCGGAATGACATCCAAGAAGAAAGGTAGTCCCTTAAGAAATGGTGCTAGTTCTGGTAGGTAATCTACACTATTAAATTACAATTTATATATCCATTTCATTATTGAATGATACTGACGATTTCCTGGCGTATATTTACATCCGTAAACTAATTTTTTCTATATTGACTACTGAATACATTTATGTTGCTTTTAAATACCATGTTTAGTTAAAGAAGTGTGTCAGACTGGTGAATTCGGCTTGACTAATTGAGAAAGAAGGAAATAAATTTCAGAACATACTTTCCCAGTTTTTACTGTACTAGAATCTGTTCTTGTATTTGCTATTAACAATCTGTTGCTGTTTTTTTTTTCAAATATAAAATTGTCCTGGATAATCTTTAGTTTCCTAATGTTCTGTTTATTCCAAATATTTAACTTGAAGGGCGAAAAGATATGTTGTTGTGCTGGCTGTTGATTCGTTTTTGGAAAGAAACACGCTCCACGAACTCCGATGCTCCGGCATGTCACTTTTATTGGCTATTTACGTCGCTCCGGAGGCGAGCTAACGGAAAACAGTCGGCTTCATAATTACATTCTTCTTCCCTCCGCCGCGTACTCGGGGAGTTTATTGTCAATTACGGGGACAGGCATCAGTTTCCAGAGTGGCAGACAATGAGTCATAAATTTCAAAGCCACTTCTCACATTATAATGCAAAAACGGCCGTGTATATTGAGAAACATATGTATGAAAACGTTACTTATTTTCTAGAAGACGTGTAAGGGGTGATGAGACCTCATAAATTGTTTGCAAAGAACAATTATGTAAGTACATATTACATCCCTTATAAACGACCTGCTATTCGAAGACACTTTCAATTTCTAATAGACAAACAATATCTATGGAATAACTAATAGATTTACATTGCTTTTTCAGTTTCTGTACTTTGATAACGAATACACACACAAGAACATAATGTCGATGTTCTTTTGAAATATGAACATATCTGCTCTGCTGTTATTGTATGAAGAAAATATATGAACATAAATCCAATGTATACATCTTGTATATTGTTTCCTATATTTTATTTTATATCCTTTATTATCTTCACATAAATCAAGTATAATTGTCTAGGTCCTCATTTGTTCTATTTTTCATTACGCTATTGTAGGGAAATTCCTGAGGTGGTTGAGGACGGCTAACTTAATTCTTTATCACTATTTCAACGTGTAAGTACTTTACGCTCTTTACATTTGTATCAGTCTCGTTTATGGTTGAATTAATTCAGTGTTTTCTCAAAATTACCTAACTAGTATGTACCTAATCTACACTATGTATCTCTAAGGGTTTTCTTAAAATTGAAGTTTTCTTTTTGACTCACCAACTTCCATTGATAATTCCAAAATTATTGTTAAAAATTAAGAAGATAATATTAACGTATTAATTAAAATATAAAAGTGTTTTTAAAAACTTCGATTTTCCCGTTTTTATGCAAAATGCAGGTTAATGTGTGGAATCACTGAGAATACGGAAGTAGAGAATTGAATAAATGATTTCGAACTTCGTATTCGGTCCGAAATAATGGCATTCAAAAATATTATGAAAATTACGTACGAATAAAATTTTAGAAATAATGGTAAACATTCTGTTAGACATGTTCTGTCATACATTCCGATAGAGTAGCACATTAAGCAACTTCGTCGATTGGAGTAGTTCTTAAGCCACTGTGTGCGAACCATATGTACCGAGTTCGAATAGCACATCTAGCCAATTTCTATTTAATAGGTCACGAAAAAAGTGTCTACCATTGGCCGTGCTACAAGGTGAATGTACGATGATGGATGATGGTAGCAGTGAGAAGTCAAAAGTCAAGCTCCCTATTCACTAGTATATCTCAGTCCATTCGACTTTGATACCCTCTGATACCATTGAAGAAGCCGAACCGAAGGAAGTGCTTTGCAGACAAGGAGTATCTTATGGTGTACTGACGCCAGGTGATGCATATTAATGAATCGTCCAGAACCGATTCTATTCAGGATCTTTCCTGGGATGTCAAGAGATTGTAATTTACTTTTTCGTTAATTTCATGCATTTTTAAAGAACAATTTCAATAGATTTATATTTTGATTAGTTTCCGTATCTTAACTCACTTTTGTGCCAGCATTGAAGAATATTTTTGAGTGATCTTCAGAGGTATTAATTTTCATTTATCTTACTATTAAAACATAGAAGAGAGTTGCCATGATTTGTGAATAGTCACTTTGTGCTTTCTTTGTATTATTTACTTTAGTTTGGTCCAATAGACGACAAAACACTTAGTATTCATAAACAATTAACTTTCGTGCTCTTTGTTCTTCATTCACTTCATTTAGGAGATGTGAACTTGACACACTTAAGTCGGGTCGTTTGCTCTCATTAATTTTCACTAAAAACGATCACGGTTGGATGACACCGCTGTTTAAATTAAACTTGAGTAATTCGAAATAGCTTAAAATACGTATTGAATTCCAGTACCTGACGTACCATTGTCAACAAACCATATCACTCCATTCCATTTTCCATACAACTTATAACTATTAAGTCTGTTTCAAGCAACTAATACAAACTTTCATATTCTGCTAGTAATAACAATTTTACCAACTGCATTATATAGAATTACACAGATCTCCTTGTGAAAACCAGCTGTATACTTTTTTTCAAAAAGCAAGATTATTTGTCTTGCTGGGGAAATATGATATTTCAAGTGCCTGCCAAAAGCTCTGGCCACACATAGACCAAAGGCCACTCATAGTGTGTGCCACCGATACCGTCAGTACGAGATTCAATCATTGGCGTATTCTTTTCTGTTTTGAATTGTGAAAACGCTGCAAAAAGCGATTGTTAAACGTTTGGTAAAGTAACTTCCAAATTGTCGTGGTACCCTAACAATCAATGAAAGTCTTTTTGCTGCGTCAGCGCGGATCGTAGGCCAAGGAATCAGAATGAAACTTGTCCGTCATTATGATAAATGAGTTGATGCAAATCATCGTGGAAGGAAATGCAAATTATTGACGTTGCAGCAGAAGAAATATTAAAATTTTCAGAGTGAATAATTGTATTCATTCTAATGTTTTGACACATTTCGTTCGTAAATTCGTTCTTACGTTAAACCGCTGCAATTGACTCATTTCGTTCATACGTTAAATCAATGTATTTTGTATAAAAATATGCTTAACCTCATAATTAAACCCTATTCTTGAAAGAAATATTTTCAAGCATTAGAAATATAAGTTTTAAACACTCATAATATTAACATTTTTCGCAAAGATGTCCGAAACAACATTGCGTAGGTGTTTAAATGTGAAGTGTTTTCTGATTAATATACATTTTTGCAGGTTGTATATCTAATTAGACTTCCAAATCGTGGTGCTGAAAACTGATAGTAATCAAATAGCTTTAAGCACTGGAAAAAACTTCTGGTCCGAACGTTTATGTCTGTATCTATAAAGATTACTTCCGAACTAGTTTGGTAAGGTCAAAATTCTGCAAGTTGAGTTTAGCCGATTTGCTTTCCAGAAATTTATTACCACCTGGAAATTTATTAAATTTATTATCACCTGGCAGAGGTGTTGAATTTAAAACTGTATCATCCTTATTTGGTCTTCAAGAATCCATAAAAAGGAAACATTTTCTAATCCCAGAACATTTTCTCACATAACGTCATTTAAAAATGTCTTCAGATTTATTGAACCTATTCCCTCCTTGAACAGTTACTCGCGAACACTTTTAAACTTGGGAATTCTCAAGTCATAGATTTTGTAAATTAGCCCGTTGGTTCTGCTAACAGTGTGGACATCAGAGGTAATGAAGTGCCGTCCATATTTATTAGTAAAATAATCTTGTATGAATATCAAGTTGCGGAAATATGCTCTGTGCACTCTCTTTGTAGCTCGCAACTCCAAAGTCTACTATATCACGATCCCTTTATCGAACCGCGATTGGTGCTCATTAGTTATTTGCTAGAGGACAATACCAAGCACATCAATTAACTGTCTTATCTCCTGAACAATATTGTCTGCCGATTGTTTAATGGAAGCTGTTCGTGTGACTTTCTTTTTCACTTTCGGCGAAGAAATAATCTTGAGTTTTGATTTTTCTTACCCATGCCTGAAATTTTGTAATTTTCAATGGATCAATTGTGTTTCCATTTCTGCACTTTGTCTCCGTCGTCCTTTCTCGCTAACTCCCACCACTTTCCACCTTAGTGCAACTGACGGCTATTTTAAATATCGTGGATAGCCCGACAATAATATTGGAATTATAATGAAGTCGTGTGTTGATCAAGGTATCTCATTATTTGTAATCCAATATTTTTGAACTTTTTCATAATGAAAAATAATAATAAAATTGTCTTTATTTGTGGCGAGGGTCAGCCCTTAAGACATGCTCTTTCGAATGAACTTCAAAATTCATTCGAACTCTTCCGAATGAACCCAGATTCCTTTAATCTCGATGTCATCCAACCGTGACCTATTTTTGTCAGTAAAAAGGTATATAGTTTTTCAGTTATTTGAGATGGTTATTGCATCGATGTACTTTGTAAACTTAGATTTCACCACCTGATTTATAAGCGCACAGTCGGGACATACAAATCTCCGTGTAAGAAGCCAAGCCGATCAGCGAGGAGTAATGAAGCGAGACGGTCGACCAGGCTAATGCCCAAGTGTGACTACCCAGGTCCGAAACGAGAACAGGGAGAAAGAGCCGCCACGTGACAAAAAGAGACAAAGAAACGCACGGTCATAAAAGCGCGTCATTCTAGCAAACCGAAAAATCGCCGAAAGCGAACTAGAATTAGAACAGCAAACAGAAGCCCTCCCCAGCCCCTCAGAAAAAACAGAACCCTCTCTCACACGCGGCCGCCCCCGACCGGCGGTGGTGGCGGCGGCGGCGGCGGTGAAGGCGGCAACCAGTGAAAGCGAAGCTCAGCTGTCGCTGGACCAACTCCGCTCACGGCCAATGGGCGGGCGCGCGGGGCCCGCGGAGAAAGTCCAGGCGCAGGGCGAGGAGGCGGCGGTCGAAAGTCGAGGCCCATACGTAGTCGCGCTCGCACGCCGGAGTGAGGAATACTCGCAGGGAGCCCAAGGGGCTGGCGGGGACTTTCGTTTTTGCCGTCGACCCTGCCGGACTGCTCGCGCTCCCCGCCCGATACTCCGACCCAGCACACCGCGGCGGCGTGCGGGGCTGTGCGGCACGCAAGTGCTCCAGAGGGCGTTCGTCGGCTGGCGCGCCTAGTGTTGTGGATGCGGTGGTGACTGTGTGCGCGGGTTGGGGAGGTTTGTTGTTGACTGCTGACTCCTGAGTGTTGATACGTCGCCTGAGGAGCGTGCGCTAGAAGTGTAGGGCAATTGAAGTGAATGTTGGCGAGTGCTTTCAGTGATTGATCAGGGGAAGTGTTGAAAGAGTAACTACAAGATCTCCAGTTTACGAGGGACACGAAAACAATCTTGGTAAGCAGATCTGAAGTGAATATCAAATTTTATTAGTGAACTAATAAGGGACTCTAGGAATGTCACAATTATACAGTAATATTAAAATAACTAAAAATGAAGTTAACTCTAGATTACATAATTTGAGTTATTCCGGCGTACCATTTAATAAAAAGTTATCAATAAGTGAGGTTGCAGGTACTGATATAAAAAAGCAGTCCCAAACTAAATTTTGGAATATATGACCTTCGCTGACCGTTCACGGCTAAGAACGCGAAGACCGATCCAAGGTCAAGAGCAGAGAAATCGCCAAGTGAATGTCTAAACTAGATTAATGCGCGGGGAGAAAGCGAATACAAAGAAATCCTCTGCTACTACAACAGCTATTAGGTGAAATCTGCTGGCCCGTCTCCACTGAAGAAACCTTCATTCTCTTCCACCGCAATGTAGAAAACATAACTTGAAGAGGGTAACCCTTGTACTAGTCTCTCCTTTCCGCGACATACACGTTTTTAAAAGAAAATCAATGGATTAAGGAAACTCTGAGGTAGGTTTGGTCTCGTTTGCCCTTCTTAGTCCCCGAGCATTAATATGTTTTTAAGTGTCGTAACTCACAGTGGAGTCTCTGCACAAACACTTTTTTTCACCAGAACTGTTTCGAAACTTGTTTACTTTCTTTCTTTAGCTAAGTAGATAACCTCTCCACTCAAATGGAATTGCGTACAAAGAGTGAAACCAAGATTGCACTTCTAGTGACTCAGTTGTATAAGTAGTAGGTAAATGGACGTTATTTTGTCTGACTCATTGCAGTTTGACTCATTGTAACCCTCGTTTTCTTATTCAAGTTTCTCTTATTATCCGATTAATCCTCTCTCAAAAGCTGCTATTATTTTCTAGTTTTCGGATCGATTTCTAAGATTGTAGTTTTCGGTATCAATGAAAAAATGTTTTTGATTTCTGTTATTGATTATTAATATAATAATAATGTATATGATGAAAGTAAATGCACCGTAATTGAACTTATTTTGTGGTCATCGCATTGAAATAAAAAGGTTCATTCCACTAAATGCAGATAGCAATTTAAGCATGAGCACTCTGGAAAATTGAAATAAATTACTATTGTCAATGAACTGTGATCAATAAGTAAAATCAAGTCACAGCTCATGTTATTTGAATGCATTTTCACATTTCTTTTATTAATTTATGACTTTTCTATTATATGAACTCCGTCAATAATTATTATAATAACTGTCAATCAGGATTTTGATGTGTCTAAAATTATGAAATGACGTGTTATTATTATCCTGTCGAATATAGCCTTATTAAGTCGACTGAACTACTTGCAAATTTCGTAAGTTAAAAAACATAAGTAAAACATAACTACTACTTCAAAAACTTCATGTTGTTTGCAGTATTGTTGACGTTATTATCACGTACTCTCTTTTATTTGTTTGCAGGATCGTGTAAGTTCAACTCGGTTTGTTCAACATGCAATAAGAGCTTCAAGAAGCAAGCAATAAAGAGCTCTTCAAATCACACTCCAGACTGAAACCGGGCCGCATCGCAGGGGTAAAGAGGAACCGATCCAACCACAGACGCAGTTCCTGCTCCTCGGCCCTCGCAAGTAAATGGGCAACGCCCGGAGACCCGAGCATTCGAACAAGCGAAGAACCCCGGGCAGCCGATGCTGAGAAAAACGAAAGACACGAGGAGCGAGTCGGCGGTCATGGCGGGAGCGGGCGCGGCGGCGGCGGTGCGGGCGGCAGCGACAGTGATAGCAACGCAGGCGGTGGAGGCGGAGGGAGCAGGGCGTTGCCATGGAGACGCGGGCGGAGGCGGCAGTTGCGGCGCTGGCGGCGACGGCGCTGCGGGGAAAACGGGGGCAACCCGCCCAGCTGAGCGGTAAGTACAGCCTGCTCGGCAGTCCCGCCCGTTCGGAATCCGTCGCATTGTCTGCGCCCCCGAAACCGGTTCGTTTATTGGTACCGTGTGCGGTGAGGAGTTATGTGAGAGGTCAACACTTCAATCATAACGCGAGGTTCATAGATCTTTTCCATTTTGTACGTTGATTAACATACATGCATCTTCATTTGATTTTATATAACAGTGTACTAATATTGACAGTCTAAAAGAAAAAGTGGGAAATTTACTTATGGAATATACATTTACGTAATGCCATTTATTTGACTGTATCAGATGCGTAGTGACAGTGATTTGATAGTTAATTTCGATCGTTGTATCTACTTCTCTCATAGCTACATTTGCTATTCAAGTTCCTGAGCGCTTTTCGTTTTCAAAATATATTTACATAACGCAGGTTATTTTATATGTTGCGTAAAGAATGAAACATTTGGTAAATTATTCATAAGAATAGCTTCGGAAACCTTTACGTGAGTTTACTGTGTATCTTCTCATTAATTTCTTCCACATTTACATAGAAAACAATAAACGTAGTAGATATTTAAAAGTCGAGAATTGAGAAACTGCTATTGTAAAATGTGATTTCATATTACAAAAGTATTACTGACCTCTGATGATGTGGTAGCACGGACAAATAGTTATAAAGACCGGCTACCCAATTTTCCCCTAATGGTAATTGATTTTCAAATTTTTGTTTCGTTTGTACTATTCTTCAGTGCAAATGTTTCTCCAGAACAATCTCCAATAGAGTTCAAATAAAAGTTAAAACATTTAGGAAATGGTTGTTCCAAGAACGGAGCTTCTATTTATTTTATATTAACGTTCAATGTACACACGATATGCTTTTAAACATTCTTCGAACGGGACATTTATTAGTATAAACATACAATAGTCGTGGAAATGACATTTATTTGCATTCGATATGATCTACTATCTACACACTCCACGAAGACTCTGGTTGTGCCTCGACATTCTTGTTTAGGAACCGCCGTTCCACGCACCGATCATTTCATTCCGACTCGCCCGGACACAAACCAAAAGCGAATTCCCTCGCGTCCCCATTAGGGCGAACGAAACAAGAAGAACGGGGCTGAGCAGATCGAGGGGCCGAGGCGGGTGCTTCACAAGGGTCACGCCGCGCTGAGTCGCCAACCGACGCAGGCGGATCGCACTGGTGCGTTGTCGCGCGCCGAAACCCACTTGCCAGCCGCGTGAGACGGCGACCGTGCGCGGCGGACGCGCTGCAACACGCGAGGCGGAGCTGCCCACAGCAGGCGCGGAATCATCAAGGAAGTACATCGGTGGGGATAGGGGAGGGCAATTTCAGTTCGGATTCCCCCTCCCCACCGACAAAGACGTTCAAAAGCAATACGCGTTTTGAGAATGTGAGTTTCGAATTGAAATGAGCCGCTGAGGTGGCTCACGGCATCAACTGATTTCACAGCTGTGCCTCTGGACGGAAGGTCCTGCCATTCGAGTCCCGACGGTGGCAGGAATTTCGACACTAGCTGGATAGCGCGATCAAGTTCTTCCGCTGTTTGGAGGAGAATTCTAGCGGCCGGCTGATCTCGTCGGTAGTTTTCCTTAGTTTCTCCGACCAACTCCAGGATAATACCTCGGTATACAAGGCACACGGGCCGCGGATCGCGAGTGATCTTTCTTTCCTTACACTTATATGCACCACACTACCAAACATGCCGCGAGCTTACAGCTTACACCCATGGAGCGGTGCCTTGCTGAAGGGATATACCTAGATGAGTTTATTGTTTACCTGTCAAGTAAAATTCATGTTACTGGAGAAGAAAAGTTGTTTCAGCGCCTTTGCTGTATATTACAATAACAGTAAATTATATCTCGATCTTGTAAAAGGTGACGTAGAAACTCCTGCAATTTCAATCCACGTTCTCTGCCGACACGCATGCGTACATGTGTATATGAATTTTTACCATTCCTCCCACAAGCTCAACTACACAGTCTAGAAATACTTCTAAAATATTAAGACCCTGTTATGTTGTTTTGCGAATGTCGAACCTATGTGTCTATAAATCGAGGTTCGTGGCATCCGAACTGGTCTTCAGAAAAACCTGTGTAAATTATGTATTGTACGTCGAGGGGAGGAACGTGAAATGAACCTCTTTTGAGATTGTGATAACTTCTAGACTCAATTGGCCAAGTTTATTTTCATTATTTATTAGATAATTCTGAATAACCGAATATTTCAAACACGCAGTAAATACAGCTCAATATAAAAAGTCATCAATCCTCAAGTGTTCTCTTTATTAGAAAACTAAGTATAATGTACAGAAACAATTTCCCAATTGTATCTTTTTTGTTGTATGGAGGTTTGGGTACCAACAGACTACTTCAAATGTAAGAAACGGCAGCTGACCAGCATGCCCACAACACATTCTTTTTCGAAATCGAAGCGGAAGTAACTCAGCTAGGGTAATCGAATAATAAAACCTTGGTCGTTACCGAATTTCTACTGTACTAGCAAAGCATTTGACTGAGAGCGATTTTAATTATTTTTTGCCGAGTCTATTTATTGTCTCTAACTAACTAAAAACATAGAAAGTAATTTCAATGTAAAAAACGAAATACCTGAAGTGAAACGTAATTCTTTTTTAAGTAATACACTTATTCAATAGCGTAAGTGGAAAACTTGAAGTTGTAGAAAACTAATCCATCAAAGCTTTGCATTTCTTATGAATTTGTTCTGTTTTAGAAGCAAAACGTCTTAAATTATTTTCATTTGCCAATTCATATTTCACTTCAAAAGAATCCATTACTTCCTTTGCTACCTGATCTAAATGTTCTTTTCTCATGTGTTCAAATTAAAAATGATTGTTTGTTTTATATAGAAATGGAAAATGGTATGAGAAGTTAAACTTCATTTTTATGGTTTATTCCTATCTGCTCTATTATTTATTTATAATGAAAATGTGTGTTAGTCTGCTGGTAATATTCAGTGACCGACTGAACAACTTTTGCTGGAGGGGGGTTACCCATTGTTTAGACATCCTTCGTTCCAACGTCCCCGCCATAAAGAGGCTCTCTGCTGAGAATTTTCTCATTCCGCGCACGTGTGTGTGTGTGTAAGTAAAGGGTGAGGATAGGAAGAGGAAGGGAAGATCGTGGCCTTTTTCTTAGGATACTGCTCCAGCATTCGCCGTATGTTGATCGGAGAAACCACAGAGAACTGTCGATCAGTGCAGTCGCCCGCTAGAATTCTCCTCCGGGCGGCGGCTGAATTTGATCCAGCTTTAAGACGGTAGTGTCGACAAACCTTCCACCGTCAGGTCTCGAACCCTAGGACGTGCAGTGGCATCAATTGATGCACTGCGCCACTTAAGCCGGTGGTATTAATGGGAGGCACCACACACATTCCCGATCAGAGCAGCCGGCTGCTAGAAGTGTCCTGCAGTGGTTGAATTCGTGTCGCGGTCCGAGGGGGGCGGCGCGGGGCGGAGGGGCGCTCCGACGTGAGAGGCGATGGTCCGGCGTAGCCCGCGGGCGATTCGGTGTGGTGGGCGGGGCGTGAGCGGCGATCGCCCGCGACTCCGCCTCCGCCGCGGATGCCGCCGCCGCCGCCGCCACCGCCGCGAGAGGGGAAAGTCGAGGGGAGCCACTGGCGCTGGGCGGACTTTCGCTCGTCGTCGATGCAGCTCGGCGCCACCTGTTCGGCCGCGCGCCCGTCGCTGACCCTTCGACGCCCCCCCGCGGCCTCAGGCTCGATTCGAGGTTATGGACGCTCTTGGCCACTAACGTCGGCCCTGACGCGCCTTCCAAACAAATTGCTTGTTTATATGGCGTGCCTACTCTGAGATGTGTTGCTATGTTTGTACCGTTGGATTAATAACGGTAATGGAATAGGTGGATGACTTAAATCAAAAATAGTATATGTATGCTCGTGGTCATTTTTGTGTTAGTATAATTTTTGGAGAACTCTCGTACATATCTACCTAGTGCATAAAAACGGAATGTCCATATAAGAAGGATCATGCTTTCTTTAAGAAAGAAGACATTTTGCCTCCATTAATTACTGAACTTCAAGCTTTGTACTATTTTCCAAATTATAAATGCTGGATATGCAGTATGTGTTCACTAAACCATCGATATGTTCATATACGTTATATGTCTTTTAAAGTGATTATATTATCCCCCATACGTAATATACATTTTTTACTGTTTTTTGACTAAATCATTCTAAATCTAAAGTGTATGCACATAGTTCACACTCACACGTTACTGGTTTACACTTGTATTTATAAACGTTTTTTCTCATTTCTTGCCATACTGCATCCTTCTGTTGAACCAACAATTTGTAAAATTCCATAAACTGAAGTGATTGTAATAGTTCCTGCAGCAGGAAGTGCGTAAATTTCAGATAAAAAATCTACAATGATTTTATGTACGTATGTAGGTATACAAAATTTGTGTTTTTAAACTCAATTCTTTCGAAATTATAATTACTCATATTTTCATTTTTTGGACATAGGCTATGAATCCGAATAACGAATTTCACCATTTTTAAAGAGAAATACTTTTTTTTAAATAAGTAAATAAATATAAATAATGGTGCCATGAATCGTAACAACGTTATAAGCGCTATTCTTGGGGAGAAGATATAATTGTGTGGAACAATGTTTTATTTTATTCCCATTGTAACTGAAAAATATTATATCGATCATATGTACACTGGTTATGTGAGAAAATGTTCTAGCAATGTGCGTACGTATGTACAAAAAATTGCGAGCATAAAT